GCCCGCGAGCGGAGGGGCAAGGCGGATGGGAGTTTGTGCGGGGCTGAGGGCGGGTGCCAGGGGTGGGATAAGCAAAACAATGGTGTTCACGGCATTCAACGCCCTGCCAAATCCTCACATAAAGAAGAAATGAAAATTTGATGTGCCCACTGAACACACGCATGTGCGCAGTATCACCCGGTGCCCCATTCGTCCCCCATGCCCACGCACCTGGCAGTACTGCAGCGTCAGGCCGCACAGCCAGCCCCAGCGGTACGAGTTGCACAGGCTGGCGCCCCAGCGGCAGGGGGGCATCCACCAGTTGATGTTGTCGCGGGTCTTTGTAGGCGTAGGTATTATTAGATATTGTATAATGTTGATGTGTTGACATAGGGCGGGTTAGGGTCGCGAGGGCGGGATTGAAGGGGGGTTAAAGTCAAGGCAGCAGAGTGTCAATGTGGCGTATGGTGAGAGGGACGTCTTATGTGCGACGGGGAGGAACTTGGGTGATGACATCATGCAGCTGAGGGTGGACGTTTTGCGAGGGCACTGGATCAGATGGTTGTGAGGTCCGGGGGGAGTTGCCATGTGTTCAATGCACGCATTTCGGCGCATTCGTCTGGATGGAGGCGGCGGGAATGGGGTTGGGGGCAGAGGGGGGTGAGGAGCCAGGATGGCCGGCCTCAGGGGGCACAAAACAGGTATCTGCCGGCTTAGTCATGGCCGCTCGAATTCACCGGTTAGTGGTCAAGCAGCTGGCCGGCTCAGGCAGTGGGTGCCCAGGGTGGGGTGGGGCGCGTCGCGCGGGCAGGGCTCTGGATGCTGAGGCATTGAAGAGGCCACGCCTGCCATGACGCTCACCATGACGCTCAGCGCAATTGACCGAAAAGCAAAGAATGGTGCGACCGTTTTGTGAAAAAAGCGCGCAACCACGGGTCTAGGTGACATCCAACAAGGGGCTGCTCCCAGATGCGTTTGGTTGTTCAATTCAATTATCAAATAGTTGCAAAAAACACTATGTTGGCTGCAACAGAGGGGGGACGGCCAGCTTGCAGCCAGGAAAGCATGTACACCAAGCCGGTTTGCGCAAGCCCCGAAGCCCGAGCGCTGGAGAGGGGAGTTTGAAGGCTATTCTATGACCCCAAAAAACCCCTCGCCCTGGCAGGCACGAAGGCCTGCTGGCTCCGAATGTCCCAACACGGTTGTATGTGCAAGGTGATGGGGAGGGAGTCTGGCCAAGGCACATGGGAGGTGCTGCAGGTAGCCGGGCACCCGGCTGCGATCTACACACGTGCACACGCCCACGCGCGCACACACGCGCGCACAAACACACACACACACACACACACACACAAACACACACACACACACACACAAACACACACGCGCGCTCGCACGCGCGTGCACACACATACGTGTGCGCATGTATGTGTGTGTGTGTGGAGGGCCAACCCCAGGCCCACCTTCTCGCTGATCATCCCGTTCTGCTGGGCAAAGTCCGCGTAGCTGCGGTGTGATGGGGGAAGGGATGAACGGGGAGGTCAGAGGGGGGAGGGGGGTCGCGGTCGGGAGGGTTGTGGTGCGGTATGGTGGGGTGTGGTGAGGTTCGTTGTGGTGAGGTGGGGCGGGGAACGTGTGTGGAATCAGGGGGTGCAGGGCGATGAGGCAGGGCCTCGGACTGCTGCTCCAAGCATGATATCAAAGGGCGCATGAGGTCAAAGGGTTGACCGGGAACATGGGGTGCGCAAAAGACTAGGGGCGTCGATGATCAAAAGGCGCGTGGAAGGGACAAAGCGGCGCCTCGCGGCGAACGAAGGGCAGTTGGCGGACAAGGTGTGCAGAGCGCGGCTCCCCGGCGCCGAGTAGTGTGCCCGATCAGGGGGTCGGGGGTAGGTTGGGGGGGTTCGGTGCGGAGAGGTGTCGGCGACACACCTGCACAGTGTCGAGCAGGGGTGCTGGGCGCGGGGGTGTACCGCCGAAAGGATGACACCCCCCGCCCAGCACACTGCCCCGCAATGCAGCTCGCTTTGCAGCAGTGCAGGAAGCTGCGCGCTCCGCTCGGCGCAGCAACGCCCGGAAAGCAGCCGGTTGACCGCTGCGGTCGCCCGAAAACAGCGCAGACGGCGTTCCCGCCCTGCCCGGCGCCAGAAGTGGTCGGTGCAACAGGGCCCCAGGCCACGGTGCATGCGCCCAACCTCTGCCCTAAGCTGCACCTGCAACCCCGAGACCACCACTCGGCGACAACCGAAGCCCCTGCAGCCGTGCCCTCGACCCCCGGCCCCAAACAAGACAACCTTCTAATAAAAGCAGGATCGTACGTGCACACAGTCCCCAAACGGGAAACGCTGCACCCGTTTGCCGATAGTCATGTATGCAAAACAGATTGGCTCTGATAATCCAGCAACAAAACTTTCACGACCTCAATGCTCAAGTGGTATTCAAAACCTCGTTGCCCAGGCCCTGAGAAGCCCTGCAAGCAGACGAGAGCATGCCGCCCTTCCCCTGAGACGCATCAGTGGCGGCGCCAGCACTCACGCGCCGAACTGGATGCCAGGCATCGTCAGCCCATTGCCGATGGCCACGCCCTTCAGGTTGATGGGGTTCCATCGCCACAGCCACGAGATTGCACATCCCCCGGCGCTGAATCCCCATCTCAACCTCCCCAACAAGGTCTGGAAAAGCCCTGCAAGCAGGTATGAGCGTGCCGCCCTTTTCCCTGAAACCCATAACGCTGCGGTCCATTCCGTCAAGCACTCACGCGCCGAACTGGATGCCAGGCATTGTCAGCCCGTTGCCGATGGCAACACCCTTCAGGTTGATGGGGTTCCATCGCCACAGCCACGAGATTGCACATCCCCCGGCGCTGAATCCCCATCTCAACCTCCCCAACAAGGTCTCGAAAAGCCCTGCAAGCAGGTATGAGCGTGCCGCCCTTTTCCCTGAAACCCATAATGCTGCGGTCCATTCCGTCAAGCACTCACGCGCCGAACTGGATGCCAGGCATTGTCAGCCCGTTGCCGATGGCAACACCCTTCAGGTTGATGGGCTCGCCCTCCCCAAGCTCCTTCGCGCGGTACACGCGGTTGGCGACGGCGGGCGCATAGTGGCCCTGCGGTCAAACGACGGTCAAACGGCGGTCAGGCAATGTGAGGGGAACATGGGGAGTAATGACCGTGGCGCTGCGCACACGACTGGACGGGCCGAAGCGGCTCCGGCCGGGGCCCTACTGCACGGACACACCCTCGATCCGTCTCGCGGGCTGCAGGTGCCAGTGGGTAGCCGACGCCCATGCGGTTGAGCTTTTGGAAATCCAATGGGCTCCCCTTTTTGCCGGTTGATGCACAGCCCGTGACCGCCCACCCTTGCGGCACCGCTGCCGTCGCCGCGACTCACCGCGTAAGACTCCCCGCTGACGATGAAATTGTTGGTCTTGAGCTCCGGGTGAGCTGGGGTCGGGTGGGTTTTGGGGGCGGGGCGGGGGTCGCTTTGTGTCATTGGGAAGCTTCGGGGTAGCTGCGGCATACCCAACGAGCGTGCGGCCAGGCCCGCTCTGCCTGGCGGCAAAGTTGTCTTGAGGAATCGGACGTTGTGATTCAGTGAATATGAACGTTGCAGGGAATCCCCTGCAACTCCAACGCAAAGTAGACGCAAGCACTGACGGTGTCGGATTGATGCAAAACATCACGACCTACGCCCTGCTATAAACATGACAGTCACTCACCCTCAAAGAATTCCAAAAGGAAGTCCAGCATATCCTTCGCCACCACCGACTCACTGGACACATAGTCCGCAGGGTCCTAGGGTTGACCGGTTAAAGGCGGTCAAAGTGGGTAAAACCAGGCAATACGGAGCGATTGAGCTTTGGGACTCTCGCGTTGCCTCTGCGCAGCGCCTGAGCTTGCAGTTTGGGGGCAAAAAAAGGGCCAACGCAACGCGTCGCGCCGCGTGGCCTGGAGCTTGAGCGGGCAGCCACGCACGCTCACATCCCTTCAAAAGGGGGGAGGGCAAGCGGGCGGGACGGCGGG